AGATATTGATGATTTTGGATTTCACTTCTTCATAAGAGAAGTTTTAATTTGGATGTCCCCAATTTTGAATTAATAAAATTTATGTCACATAGAAAAAATATATTATGTGAATTCATGCATGGTTTTACCGTGATAATACTTGAGGAACAATTCCACAAGTAAGAGAGAGCTAACACTAGAGCTCGTCTATAGTTACAATGAGTTAAACCTTTATAAACGATAGTAAAAATATGCGTACGAGTCTAAAATTAGATTAATTTAAGCTAAATCCTAAGAATAGTGTGAGACAAGGGAGCAAGTTGTATCCAGGGTTTATAGACTAAATGATCATTACACTTAGTGCTATATGAAATACTATGAAAATTTTTCTTTAACTATCTAAAGATAAGGAATTTACACATCTAATGATCTGGCTAGCTACGGTTGTGATCAGGGTCAACACTAGATAGAAGCTGACCAAACATGGATTTGAAGCCTCCAATGTATTTAATAATTTAAGAGGTTGTTTTGGGGGGGGGGGGGGNGCAACGTTCATTACTTATAGAAAATTTTAGATGTCTAGATTGTTGAGAGTTCGACCAATCCCATAGAAAATTAATACGTTTTATTTTGATAAATTAATATTTTGTGATGATCGACTATGGCTGTGATCTAGCTAAAACTATCTAGGAAATCCAAAGAGAAAGAAGAGCAATGCCTAAATCAGGTTCCTAGATTTATCACTTAATTAATCTTCCGAGTGGCTCCAAATCCTCTAATCAATAATCATATGTCTATGCAAATTCATATGCCTCTGTGGATGAGTTAATTAGTCCCAAGCAAGCAGTAAATCCAAATCATCAACCCACATCAAGAGACAACAAATCTTATTAAGAACCATTATTAGATGCACTCGTCAACTCGGTTGATCGCGTCTTTGGAGATAGTTTTGGTTTCGTTTTATCGCTTCTTTAGAACTATAGGTAAATGCAACCATGTTGACAAAAAAAAAAGAGTAGATGCAACCATGATCTAAGTAATTAATAAATGCAAATACGCGATCGTGATCTAAGGAATAAACAAATTAATATATAAACAAAGGAATAAACAAATTTTTAAATTTAATAAATACTTAGATCATTTGTTA